TGATAATTAAACCCACATGACAGACTGAATGTAAAGCACTCTCTGCAATGGAGAAATCTTTGGTCTCAATCCTCTCTGGAAACTAGGCAGTCTCTCTTCATCTCCATTTGGATGACATGCAAGCAGTAAGTCTCCTCACTTAAGCTCGACACTGCACTGTAACGATATGAAAGAGCAGCAGACCACTGGTCTCCACAAACACTGTCTTACCCACTAACAACAAGACTTGATTTACACAAACCAGAGGGTTCAAACTGGGAAAGACCCCAAAAAAACAAAAACTTGGTGCATCACACTTCTCAATTCGTTTTCCGCTGGCTCTTTAAAATAAACAAAGCACAAACAAGGGAATTAAGATCATGATCACTGATGCACTGTCAGCAGAAGTGACTTATGTAACAACCGGTAATGAACTCTGAATCCATCAACGGAGACCATAATGTGAGAGCCATTCATGGCCGGCTGTGGAGCATGAACATTTTAGTCAGCTTGCAAAACCACACACTCCTGAACCAGCCATGATTTTACCACACCAACTCTATAAACACTTTGTTGTATTTTTTTAAAGAAAAATAGATTGTTTATGACAGAAATTATCTATTAAACAATGAGCCTCTTCAGTTTTCTAATGATGTTCATGATGTTCACCAGCAGAGGGTGGTAGTCTAGTGTACGGGTTTCCGTCTTTTAGATGCCACAGATCCTCAAATATGCTCATTCAAGGGACCCTCATACTAAAATTTAAAAGGCATACTGTATATTTTCATGTATAAAGACACACTTTCTTGTTTAAAGACAACTTATACTGTGAAAAACTACTATTAATGTTATAAATATTATATTACTGTTATAAATATTACTATTTTGAATTTATTTAATTTCTATTAGCTTCCTATAGTACTGTTGTTTGCATTAATTATTAACATATTGTATGTTAATTTAAATCTGTTTTTAATTATTTATTTTACCCAATTCATTTTCCATAAAAAAATAAAAAATAAAACAACAACCCTGGACTAGTGGATCTGAGCTGATAACCAAAGATTTAACCAAATTCTTTTTCATCTCCTGGAGAAACATCAGGTTCTAACCTTTAGACCAATGTATTTCCATGATTTTCCATAACTTTTCCAGTTGTTCATGATTAAGCCTCTTCAAAAACGATCACTCAAAAGAGAAATTTCAAACCAATGAAATATAGCTGAAATATTTCTATTGACTAAAACATTTCAATGCCTTTTCAAGTCCTGGAAACATGTTTTTTTTTTTTTTTTTTCTGATATTTTCTGATTTTTCCATGAGCGTGGGAACCCTGGCTGGATCAGTTCTTGAAGTTACTTTGGATAAAAAGTTATATGCAAATCAAGATGCTCTGCTAGTAACAATCCTAAATGACAAACATAAGGCTATGTCTGATATCAAAGTCGAAATATTAGACTTCAGCGGCTATACCCCAAGCTAACCAAGCTCTCTCTGCCAAATGTAGATACGGACAGACAGGCGTGGAGTCGTGCCAGGAGAAGCGCTCGCTCTTCCCAAACCTGTTCCTGGAGCCCCCCCAATAGTATACATTTTGGATGTGTCATCTGACACACCCATTTCAACTTTTGGAGCCTCTACTAACAAACTGATGAGTTGAATCAGGTGCGTTTGATTAGGGAGACATCCAAAAATTGTATTATTGGGGGGCCTCCAGGAACAGAGTTGGGAACCACTGCACTACCTGACAGGGAGCAGGTCTCCTAGGCGTCCTTGTTGCCAACTTACACATTCAAACTACATCATTTATCCAACTTTCAAACGTCCATGTCTCGAATAAGCCAAATGGTGCAGTATTGCTTATATAATGACTATATCTTTTTATGAGGGAGACTGTTGATCTGTGATTTTTCATTTTTGTCTACCAGTCATTCCATTTGATAGCAGCTGTAATCAGGCATTAATGGAAATATTACAAGAGCAGATAATTTATTAAATCGCTTAAGGAACTGGACGCCTTCCCCTTCGACTCTGCACCCCACAGACAAAGAGAGATATTTCTGCTTTCTGCTAGAGTGATCACCAGCAGGTCTGACAGCACTGCTGCCTCCATCATTTTAGTTTCACTGCAACTGTTACAAATTGACAGCAGAATAGACATGCATATGTGTCCATAAAAGTTTTGCGTTCAAATAAGAATGGTAACCATGCACGGATACAATGTATTCATTAGCACATTTTTCCATAATAAAAGTACAAATTTGACAACGACCTTACCGTTTAGTTGAGCAGGAACGGACAATTGGGTGACCCTGAGATTTACCGACCTCCGTCTGGTCTGTCGTCCTCCTTCAACACCGGGTAGTTCTCTGCCACATACTGAGATGAGCCGGTGGACTGTGCTCTAATGCTGCGTGGTTTCTCTGCTCCTTCAGTCTTAACGCTGACGAGAGGAACTGAGTTCGGACTGCGCGTTGGTGATGTCCGAATCGCGAACGAATCGTTCGTTTGAACAGGTTCTTTTTTAGTGACTCGATCGAGCCGATTCACACGCCGTTGGAGAGACCGCTGTGTCTAAAACTTCCTGAACTTAGGCTAACCAACTTCAACATAATTATTATTATCCTTCATTACCCCCACACACTATTTTATTTTGAACATTTTAAATAAAAACGATAAAGGGTGGACTTAAACTGAAAACAAACAACAAAATTGGAAACAATTAGCCTATAAATAGGACATTAAAAGTGCTGCAAGCAAGCGACTTTTAAGGAATGTAAATAATAACCACATTTAGCCTACTTCAACACACCGATTATTCTTCACCCCAGACCCATTTCATTTGGAACATTTTCAATAAAAACAATAAACGTTTTAGATACAAGTTACGTGCCTGTCAAATAATTTTGCGCGGGCAGTAGACGCTGAACTTGAAGCGGGTTTCAGTTTGGAAGCCGCGAACTGCGAAACGCGCTTTACTTTTCATTTGTCAACAACGGTTCAACAAAGGAAGGCAGAGGGAAATAAAGACTAGTGAACATGCTTTTCATCGCTGGAGGGAGTTCCAATTCGCCTGGAAGAATTCTAAAGCTTCTGAAAGATGACGAGCTTGATTTGCTTCTGCTTGACGGGTAAAAAATAAAGCTGGAACAACCACATCTCTACTTGGAGGTTGTATAAAGAGGGGCCTAGTAGGCCGAGTGTTTACTAAAGTCGGCATGACATAATTTATAATAAACACTGCAATATTCTATAAAAAAAAAAAAAAAAAAAAAAAGTCCATTTGCATACAAACTTGTGTGGCTATGTGGCTGTCCGATCCAAAACAATATAGAACCTGCCGATTCAGAATCAGATGATGCAGCAGTTCTATTAATAGGCCTATTCATATTTATTTTTTAATAGCCTTTTCACCAGTAGGCCTACGGTCGCTAATCGAATTAGGATTCAAACGTGAAATACTTTCTTACCTCAACATTTTTTGTTCTATAAATCCTTATATTTATAAATTAGACATAGTTTATCGGAGGCGGAATGTGATCTATATACTTTCTTGTTGAACTGATGGTGTTAATTAACAGAACCGTAGTAGAACAAACGTAAAACGCCGCGCGGGGACTTCTGGGAACCATTCAAATCTTTTTGAACAATTTCTAAAATGAACCGTCCGAACGAATCGATTCTTTATAATGAATCAGACTTCCCAATGCAACCGCGTTCATTTGCAGGAAGACAGACGCTGAACGCTGGGAGGAGCCATCACAAAAGAACAATCGCGCTCTGTGAGTCGCACTGTTATATTCGCTTTGATGAGCTCGTGTTCAGAGGAGGCCGCCTCGACTCGATCACCTGTTGGATATCGTATACACCCCTTCCCCCCTTCCTCTCCAAAACAGAGCCGGATGCCAGATGCACTTTCGTCAACAGTCATGTAGCCTACTCAGAGGAAAACGTGATTACCCTGAAGAGCAGTCGTGAAATAAAATATATTCTGTTCAGGTTTGGATCTAGGAGACCCCAAGGCTTTTTTAATCTAAAAGAAACTGTCAGGTTGATACTTAACGACTTATTTGAAATCTTGTGAAAACTGATTAAAACAATTTTAATTTACTAAAAAACTAAAAAGGGTTCTCCTTGTTGTCTTCAAGACTCTAGGTAAAATACATCAATAAAGACAATGCATTTTCACATGGTAAGATTTTCTGATTGTAGTAATGTAGCCTATAGCATGTCAGTTGTCTGATTTGTTTTATTGTAATTATGTTTTTGCTGTGGTCCAACTGACCCCAAAAAGAAACAGATGTAAGAAATGTTAACATTTATTTTTTACACTCTGAACATTGGAGAACCCAAACATAAATATAGTAAAAACAGACTCAACAGAACATGAGGATTAAATTATCTTCTGATTCTGGCTTTGATGTTGTCCGTCCAGTTTCGAGATTTATTATATTCTTTTTATGTGTGCGATAATAAAATCATGTAATGATATTTGTTCAAGAGAGTTTTCACTGTGCATTGCTCCAAATAAATGTCTCAAATGCCTTAATGGGTCCCTAAACCAACTGAATGCAAAATAAATGAACCAAATTCTTGTTTTAGGCATTAGTTTGCAGCAGAGCTTTTCTTAGCATTCAGCGGTCGCATCCCAAGACTTGGGTGAGAAAGTAAGTTTCTAAGAAGCCTGAAGGGAATACAAATTTGAGTGATTCGAGCAGCCCACACAGTTCACCTGTGTTCACAGAAACACACAGACACATAAACGCACACGGTTTCTCTCAAGCTCACACACACACTAAAACTTGGCAAGCATAGAACCATCTAGCGTACAAGCCAGATCAGAGAACTTCATCATTTCGGCAGACTAAATACATTTGTTATAACTCCTTCACCAATTCATCCGTGCCGTGTCTCCTCTCTCTCTCTCTCTCTCTCTCTCTCTCTCTCTCTCTCTCTCTCTCTCTCTCTCTCTCTCTCTCTCTCTCTCTCTCTCTCTCTCTCTCTCTCTCTCTTCTCTCTCTTTTCTTTCTATCCCTCTCTTCCTGGATTTCAGCTACAGGCCACGGTGAGTGTTTAATAAGATTATTCTGTCTTTTTTTGGCTCTGTCTGCCAGAGACCGTCTGTTCTTATCTTATCCCGAGGCAAATTCACAACCTTTCAAGGTCGATCAAAATGTCAGACATGTAAAATGTGCAAATGAGGAGAGATGTTAGCAAACGAATGTTCGGCAGAGGTCAAATACCGTACAGACATATAACTATTGCATTAAATTAAGATTGTAGATATCAGCTTAATTTGTAACATCTTGCTGGCACATATGTATGCATGTTAAGCAACACTTTTGAGAGCTGTCTGAGCAGATGTGGCGTGTTGTAAAGCATGTTCTTAACACGGAAAAGTCTAGTGTGCACTTTTCAAAACCTTGTCTTTAAGCTGTGCAGTCTACAGCTATTTTTTAAATATAGTTTTTTTTTATGATAAAGCACTGCTAACGTTTGTGTTTTTAAAATACAGGGTAGAATTATTATTATAAATAGTGTAATGCAATTTTTTGAGTTTTTGAATGCCAGCATGGATGCAGTTTTTTATCCATTTGGAAATATGATTTGCATCTGGTCAGTTTTTGCTAAATTCAATATTCATTACGTGAATTCTTAACAAATTACATGAAGTTTAGCCAGAAGGGTAATATGTCAATCTGGAAACATAAAATTGCATCACTTGCACTGCAAAGTAGCAGAGAATTCATCTGTGGCTTCAGAGACGAAGATACAATAGTTGTTGAGCTGCTGAACAGGTGCAAAAGATCTGCAAATTTTCACCCCAGATGATGTTAACTGGTTTTAACCAAATGTACAATTGCAATTTCCAAGAACAGACCATCATTAAACATAAAATGAATTTAAAAGATTGTGTGTATATATATACATGAATATATATATATATACTATATATATATATATATACATGAATATATATATATATACTATATATATATATATATACATGAATATATATGTGTGTTAGGTTTTGACAATTAGATATTAGTAACACATTGTCCCATTATTTGAATTATTTTGCACAACTTGCGTCATAGCACAAAAGTCACATTTATTTATATAGCGCAGATTGTTTCAAAGCAGCTTTACAGAGATAACAGGAAAATGGTGCCAAAGACGCAAAAAAACTCACAGCAAAACAGGTAACACTTCTTTTAATTCAGCTTGTTTGAAACTAATGTTTACCAGACTTCATTATTTTACCATAAAACTTTATACACACTATGTGGAGCACTGAATCACAAAGGTTTCACTGCTGCAAGTTTGGTGGCAAGAATCCAGACTGTTTCACTGCCCAAATGCCCATGATATTGTGGTCCTGCGAGACCATCTAAATATGGGCACAAAATCATGCAAAGTTGGACAAGAAAAAGTGTAATAAAAAAAAACCCAAAGTGAGCAGTCTTGAACAGGGCAGGGGTCAAAAAGCCTTTTACGTATAGGAAAAAGAAAGTTTTATTTTCCATTGTAGGCTGCTTGGCCTTTTTGAATAAAGTAGTTTCCATTCAAGGCAGTTGACTTTGGGTTTATGGACATAAACATTGTGAATATTTTGGGTGTCATTAAGCAACATAGTTCAAATTCTTGCGTTCAGAACATGGAAAATCTGTAAATGCGATGAAACCATTGTTAGGGCATTTTATTGAACTCAATCAAAAGAGCTGTTACAACTTAGTTTTCTTAGCTTTAAATTCATCTTTAAATTCTTCATGTACTTCTAAACAACCTTAAAAATGAACGTATGCCTCAACACCTTGATCTTATTTCTGTCTTGAATAGTTTTCAAAGACGCTCATTTTCAAAGCTCCTTTTATAGATTAACAGCGAACACCCATCTCAGATGTTTGCTTGTTTCTAAATGCATCTGTGAGACATTTTGTTCGCAATGAAAAAATTCACGCATTACGGAAGAGAAGATTTTTCGATGAGGTTCAGCCGCAGTATTGTCACCCACTTTTCACACCGGAAAATAATGTTTAGACAAACAAATTATTAAGTTCCATTACACTTTCCGCTGAACATTGACAAATCTATCTTGAAGTTAAATCTTTGACTGCTGAAAATACAAATTCAGACTAGTAGGCTTACTAATAGGCCTAAGCCTACTTTCTCAAAATTATCTACAGTATATATATATATATATATATATATATATATGTGTGTGTGTGTGTGTATGTTTGTGTTTTAAAATGGTTTTAATTTAAATATAATTTATATAGATTTAAAAGTTAAAATGTATATACATTTTATAGTTAATATAAGTTTGAAATATCTATATGTATGTATATATAATTTATAAATATATACATATTTATTAATATAATATTCAAGTAATATCCACCCATCCATCTCCAATATGCTTATCCTCTATTCAGGGATGCTGGAGCCTAAATATTGAAATAATAATATACGTGTCGTGTGTGTGCGTGTGTACATATACATACATACATACATACATACATACTGTGTACTTACATAAACCATTTATATTTAATTCTTACATATATATAATTTATATTAACATATATATATGTTTGTGTGTGTGTGTACTAAATTTTATGTAGTTTATAGTTACAATAATTTTTAAAAAATCCAATCCAACGAAGCAGCTAATCAATAACTTATAATTTACTTTTTAATCATATTGTATACATACTTCATGGTGTGCTACATTCAGGGGTAAAATAAATAATAATAGCGCAATTTTTGCAACATCAAAAATTACATTACATCACCAGGTGTAAAATGGAAAAGGATCAAATTGCCTCATGAGACTCATGTCTCCTCAGTGCACTGTCCCCTAGTGTCTTTGCTGTGGCCTGTGGTGGTTTAAGACAAGGTCTGTGTGTGTGTGTGTGTGTGTGTGGCTGCGGCAGGGTCTTTCTCTGTGTTTTAACTGTTATAGTCCCTGTAAGTGTGGGCAGCTCTGTGTCCAGGAAGCTGTGGTTTAAATCAAAGCTAGGGTCCTCCATTTGTTGTCACTTCATGTGATTCCACCTCAGAGCATGTTCAAACTCTGTCTGGTAGACATTTTGAGATAATTTGCATAAAATTATGGAATCTAAAGTGTGAGGTGCAGAGAAAAGCAGTTGGGATTTTTTTGTGTGTGTGCAGTTTTGACTTTCTGGTGAAAACATGATGCATACATGTTTCATTATTGACCTCCTACTCTCCTACACAGCATTAGCATTCAGCCACTGGAAAATGTTCATCACTACATAAAGAATCCATTATAGACACTTGGTGCCAAATTTGCATCTTTTTGCCTTTTTGGTATTTTTTTAAGCGGCTGCTTCATTTTCTTTCACTTCCAGAGATGTTTCAATAAAGCATGTGTCTGTTGACAAGCTTAGGAACATTGAAGCATCAGCACCTGCACAGGGTGGGGGGTTGTCGTATAAGAGCTGGCGGGGGTGGGGAAGGATATGTCTGAGTTTCCTGTTGTGGTGATTCGATCCGAATGCGAGACTTTGCCGGTTGCAAAGCAACACTAAAACACCAACCACACCAACTTTTACTTTGTCTTATAAACTATATGCTCCACTACACACCAATAATTTGATCACACAGGGCCGTCATATGCAAATGTCAATGTTTAAGTCATAAAAAGAGGGAAACTGAGAAAAGAGGGAGAGATGCGTTCAGACGGGGAACATCCTCCCACATCCCACATCAGCAAAAACACATGCTCACAACAGTTTGCCCCATTTTGTTGAACTTATCAGCCGCTTCAATCTGTCTCGCTCTCTGTCTTTCTCTGTCAAAACTTCATTTTCCGCAGCTTCTGATCTAGTGAGACTCTTCGACCCCTCGTCGTCTCCATCATGACCGACCCTGCCGCGGACCTCCCGTTCTTCTATGGCAGCATCAGTCGCTCGGAGGCCGAGGACCACTTGAAACTGGCTGGCATGGGAGATGGCCTCTTTCTCCTGCGCCAGTGTCTCCGCAGCTTGGGTGGCTATGTCCTGTCCTTGGTCTGGAACCTTGAGTTCTACCATTACTCCATAGAGAAACAGTTGAATGGCACGTATTGCATCGCGGGTGGGAAGCCTCACTGTGGACCTGCTGAGCTCTGTGAGTACTACAGCAAAGACCCAGATGGGCTCGTGTGCACCTTGAGGAAACCCTGCCTGCGATCAGCCGAAACAGTAATCAAGACGGGCGTCTTTGACAGCCTGAGGGACAATATGCTCAGGGAATATGTGCGTCACACCTGGAACCTGGAGGTAAGGGTTTCAAAACAGGTTTGATTCTGATTCGTTGACCCACAAAGTGTTGATTAATATTTGGTAACTGCACGACTATGAAATAGGATAGGTGTAACGATACCCTCCCTCATGTCACGATTCGATACATATCATGATACTGAACTCACGATACGATATTATTGCGATACTCCAAGAAAATTTGGTATTACATTGGGGTGAAATGAATGGGCTTGGACTTGGTGCTGGTAACCCAAAGCACAGGACAATGGTGACACCACAATAAAAATGTTCATGATTCTGAAGCTGAAAATATAGAATTATTTTAGATGAATATGCTTGCACTCACTGATATGTTTAAATAATGTAGGCCATTTTTTACTGGTAACATAAGACATTTGGCATAATCAGGACCCACACAAATATTGTAGTTTAATGTAGTAATGACACTAAAACTCTGTAAACATGACATTTTTCTCACACTATCCACAATACATATTGTTGGATTTTTGTATTGCGATACATTGTGACACGATATGTTGTTACACCCTTATGAAATAGTATAGGTTTAATGACTACATTATGGTTACATATCACTTAACCACTTTTTTCTCTTCAGTGTTGTATGCTTTTATCAAAATACATAATCAGGGTCATATGGAAGTAGTTCAACACAGAATGAAAACATAAAAAATTTGAAAAATGTTCTGATCCACACAAACGATACAGCCTTATACATGAATTAAGGGATAGTTTATAAAAATAAAAATTGTGTCATCATTTACCCTCATGTCATTCCAAACCTGTTTCCTTTGCTGCGGAACAAAGAAGATATTTTGAAGAATGACAAAAAACACTGAATTATTTCTCAAAATATCTGAACTACATGAGGGTGAATAAATGATGACAGAATTTTTTTTTTTTTTGAGCGAACTATCCCTTTAATCATAGTTAAAAGTGGAATAATTGACTCTAAACCTTAAAATTCTTGTAACTTAAAAATGGCGCGTAACAGCTACTCGGCTTCACATTGTGGCCGAAATACATTTGCACATATTTTTGATTATCCTTTAAATAAGCATGCGTTTAATTTTTATTTTATTTTATTTTATAAAATTTTAATTTTAATTTTAACCGTATAATGGGGTCCTTAAAGTGACATTTGCACAGAGACACTTGCAGAAATTGTCTTGCGTGCACATGAAAAGAGGTCTCCTTTTTTTATCCATTTTTAACTTTGAACTTTTTTTATGATTTTATGTTACCTTTTTTAGGGGGAGGCCATGGAGCAAGCCATCATAAGCCAGGCCCCACAGCTAGAAAAACTGATTGCCACCACAGCGCATGAGAAAATGCCCTGGTTCCATGGCAAGGTCCCTCGGCAGGAGGGTGAGAGACTACTGTACTCAGGTTCTCAGCCGGATGGAAAGTTCCTGTAAGTGAAGAGCTTGATTCATCAGACGTGACAGTCTAAAGTTTTCCTGCAGCATTAGAGTGGAAAGGTCACGATGACACATGGGCTGTTTTTAGAGGCAAATCAGATGATCAGTAATTATTGTTTGTAGCAAAGATAGAGTTGGGTCTTCAGTGGTGTCATGAGTAAATTCAATGCAGTGTGGATGTTTACAATGCTGTATTTACTCATCTACATTGCCTCAAAAAGCGTCCTCTGCATCATGGCCTGCATAAACTGCTCAACTCAGAAAGATAGACAGTAGGATTGGTCAAGATCACATATTTAGTCCTGTAACATAATTTAGGCCAATCAGCAAGCACATCGGAATGCAAATATGTGACCTCCCAGCTAGGAACGTTCGCAGAACTTTGGCTAACGCTCCGGCAAGGTTCTCTCAACGTTATGATTACATTTAAACTTCCAGTAACATAAATAGAACGTTTGATCAGGGAACATTCAAAAGTAAAGTTTCCATAGTGTTTGCAAAAGGATGAAATGGAATGTTCCCTTAACAGTCATATAACCCAGAACAAAAAGCTTTTACATTTTTTTTTTTTTTTAAACTAGACGTTTTGATTGCGCAGGGAACACTTATGGAAACGTAAGCAAAACATTCTTAGAATATGTTTTTGTTAGCTGGGCTGTGATTTCTAATTTTCTAAATCTGTTTTCTAGAGTTCGAGAGAGAGAAGAATTTGGCACCTATGCGCTGTCAGTGACATACGGAAAAACTGTATACCATTATCAGATCTTACACGACAAATCAGGGAAATACGCAATGCCAGAAGGAACTAAATTTGACACTGTGTGGCAGGTATGCTTTACCCATCAAAGAGTCTGTCATCTCATAATACATTTAAAACAAATACTCTTCTATACTCTCAATGTCTTCTAGAAGACAATGTCTTCTATACTCTCACAATGTCGCCAGACGAAACTGCTTTTACAAAATTACATTTAACTATTTTCTAATTGAATTAAAGCTGCAGTCCGTAGCTTTTTTTGGGTTAAAGATTATTCAAAATACATATTTGAGAAAATACATAACCAGCCAGTGTTCAAAACTATCGGCTTGCCTTTGCTCGATTCAAAGTGGTAAGCTTGTAATAATGTTTTTAATTCCAGTGGTACTGGTGGATTTCCACAGGAGATTCGAGCATGTCTTTGCGTCATTACGTCACATCTGTACACACACATCTGTACACATAAAGAAGGAGTCTCGGCTAGTATAAGCTATATTGCGTGTGAGGATGTTGGAGGTGGAGATTTATAGCCTTTTCTCACAGCACTTGATATAATTAAACTTATCAATTTGATGGCGGATCCAGAAACGTTCAAACAACAATCACCAGTGACAACTGGAGACTCACCCGTTGTAAAATGCAAAAGACTTCGTTCGGACTTCGGAGTGGCTAACTTACAGAAAAAAAGAGACTGCACCCGGACCCATGCGAAAATATCGGAAAAACATTACATGTAGTCACGCAATGCTGACGTTGTTAACATTAACAATTTGAGAACAAAGTATAATTTGCACGGTTTTGCGTGATATGATAAGCGATTTTTAGATTTAATCAGCGCGATTTACTGCAATGTCAGAACCAGAACAAAAGTGGATGTTACTTACTTGATCAAATGACATTTTCCGTTGAAAATTATTATGTTGGTCATACTTCCAAAAAGAATAATCTGTGATTCTGAATGACAGTATCCACACCGGCGGCGACTGACAGCTGCACACTCAACTCAAACATTGTGTTCATCCGCGCTGTGCCGTGTCGAAGTACAACTCATGTAAAATTGATCATTCCGCGAATAACTGCAATTGCAGATTTCGAACAGAGATGGCGACAAAGAGGAAAAACTGCGGACTGCAGCTTTAATTTAGTTCCATTAACATTTTAAAAATGCCTTTTGATATAGATGTTTATGTAACTTAAAGATTAATTTAATTTAATAAAGTATTGCACAAAAAATAGAAATGCATTTTGAGTTGATTTAAAAATATTTTTTTAAAATTGAATTTATAAAATATATTAATTCTAAATATAAAAATATATTAATTTGTAATCTGGTCGGAAAGAAAATAACTAAAACATCCAAAGGACAGTACAATAGTAATTAATATATGAACATGTTAAAATTTTGATATACAAAGATTCCTACATAATCACATAACCCCATAAACCTTTTTGTATTATTTTATTATTGTAGTTGTCATTGATGTTTTTATTTTATTTTCATAATCATATTCCTCCGGAGGGCAGCTGGTTGAATATTTAAAGATGAAGCCTGATGGTCTTGTGACTGTACTGAGAGAACCGTGTATCAACCAAAACAATGCACCAGCAGGTATGAACTTTTATTCGTCATAGCATTGTGATTTATGTAAAACATATATCTCCCAAAACTGTTAGACATATGCATATGAACAGGTATCAGTTTTTTATAAGAAATATGCGTGAGTGAAAATAGCTAAGATTCTTTCTCTTTTTTTCACTTTTAGCTCTTGTAAACGCTCCGGTAAGTATAGCTGACAGAACACATCTATTTTTGGAACACATCTAATAATATAATGCATGTGGTTAATTGTTTCTGGGTTTCTGTTTGTGTGTTGCAGAGAAGACAGAGAGGTAATGGATACACACCGCCCCCTATGGGTACGTTTATAGTGGTACAAAATATAAAAGTTTAAACAATCCAACAGCAGTGATGAAATCAACAAATATGCCAAAATATATATCAAAAAACAGTCCAAGTCTCAGAGTCACAGAGCTGTCTTAGTGATAAATCCATAATCTTTTGGCTATTACTGCTAAACCATTTGGAATTGGACCACATAGTTTTGCAACAACAAGGATAAATGGCTTAATACAGCCTAAAATATTTACTACAGAGCTGCTTGCATTAACCATGTGTTTTCGCTGGAATGTCTGTGTTTTTAACTTTTTAGAATGCTGGTTTTCCATTTATGAGTAAAATAAGGTCTGTGTTAACAATACCTAAAGAGACATTCCCACAATAATACCTCAAATGTGAATTTTTAAACCGTTGTGCGCGTAAAAAGTTTTTATTTGCTAACATGTTGTTACTGAAGAACTCCAACTACTATAAGGATGTTTATGTGACTGAAAACGGTTGTAGGACAAAGCACCTTGTTAGTAAAAAAAATTGTCTGCAGGTTTTCTAAAAACCCACTAGAAGTTAGTGGAACTGCTGTAATCTAGTTTAAAGCAAATTTATGACAGCATGCTAATAACATCTGATGTGATGTTCCCCAGTGCCTTTTGGATCCGATTTTCCACGTCCATCTTTGCCCATGGACCATGATGCATTCACCAGTCCTTATGATGATCCAAATGAATGCAAGAAGAAGACCCTGTTCATCAAGAGAGACAAGCTCATGGTGGACGAGGTGGAGCTTGGTTCGGGCAACTTCGGCTGTGTCAAGAAAGGTGTCTTCAAAATGGAAAGGTATGTACCAAGGGTGAAAAGCATACATATGTGTGACAGTTTCATTTTTATAAAATTTTACCTAAGTTGTTTCCTTCTCCTGTGTAGCAAACAGATTGATGTGGCAATTAAAGTGTTGAAGAACGAGAATGAAAAATCAGTAAAAGATGAAATGATGCGAGAGGCCCATATTATGCATCAGCTGAGTGACCCGTTCATCGTGCGCATGATTGGACTCTGTGAGGCCGAAGCGCTCATGTTGGTGATGGAGATGGCCCCCGGTGGCCCGCTCAACAAGTTTCTCTCTAGCAAGAAGTGAGTTCACTGTTGTGTGTTATTAATATATAGTCGAAGAATGTAGAAATGGTTTTCTACATAGAGTCTGTTATGTATTAAAACATATAATATACTGTATGAATATTTGATTTTTATAAATAGTGACCATAAACTATAATAAATATCATAAAAAAATCCTTTATTTTTATATTGATATTTTTATTTATAGTTTGACATTTAAATGCAACTTTATATTATGTAAATGTCATAATATATATATATATATATATACTTAATATATATGTATTATATTATATATTATTGTATGTTGTATTCTTTATATAATTTCATTTATATTTTCATATTTGAAAAAACTGTGATAGAATTGATTTAGTAGTGATTTGTGCTCCGCTTATTGTTAAAGTAAGTGGGAGAGCTCTAATCTGAATTATATAAGCAAATAACAATCATATATTATTATATATCAATTATATGTATATATATATATATATATGTATATATATATACGTGTGTGTGTGTTTGTGTGTGTGTGTGTCTAAATATATATATTATTTCAAATATATAATTTATTTCAAATATATATATATATATTTGCAATAAATATATTTATCTGAGATAGAAGTGATTTAGTGATTCCTGATCCACTTCACTTTGTGTTAAAGTGTGAAAGCTCTAATCTGAATTATGGAAGCAAATAGCCAATCAGAAAGTCATCAATTAAAACCTTGTTCTGACTAAATCAGAAAATACCCAAGTTGCTCAATAACAACAATTTACACTGATACTCTTTTTGTTTCTTTCAGGGACACGATCACTACTGAAAACATTGTGATGTTAATGCATCAGGTCTCAATGGGGATGAAGTATTTAGAAGGAAGGAACTTTGTGCACAGAGACCTGGCTGCACGTAATGTACTATTGGTCAACCAGCAATATGCCAAAATCAGTGACTTCGGCCTCTCGAAGGCACTGGGTGCAGATGACAACTATTACAAGGTGGGCTGTTCTCAGATGTTCTGCGGGAGAAACACAATTACATTTTAATTATAGTTTCTATATAGCACTTTGTAAACACTGTTTTAGGTACTTATTGTGGTCTTGGAGAAATTTAATCTTTTCTATACATTTGTAAATCTTCTATATTGTACTGTCAATATACTAACAATGGGAACAGTTCCTTATTCCTGTTGTATGACTAGTCACATGACCATCAGTGGCTCATTACAGCAATATAGGCCCGGTTTCACAGACAGGATTTAGATTAAGCCAGGATTAGGCCTTCAATTAGGACATTTAAGTAGCTTGCCTTAGAACAAAACATTACTGGTGTGCATCTTGAGACAAAACAATGGCCCTGACATATTTTAAGATATGTCAGTGCAAGTTGTTTTCAGTTAAAACATGCATTTTAGTCTGGGACTAGACTTAAGCCTTGTCTGTGAAACCGGGGGATAATGTCTAACAAGTCGGATGCTATCTATTGATGGTGCAGGTACAAGGTTAAAAGAATAGTCATTCAGAGTATGATTTTGTATGTGTATAGGCCCGGACAGGTGGAAAATGGCCTCTGAAGTGGTATGCGCCAGAGTGCATTCATTTTCACAAGTTTTCCAGCAAAAGTGATGTTTGGAGCTTTGGCATTACGATGTGGGAGGCCTTCTCCTTTGGAGGGAAGCCTTATAAGGTAAACATTTACACTGTCACATTACTTACAACCAACTTAAATGAGTTGTTCATGAGATTTTTCATCCATTTATTTTCCCCATGAAGAAAATGAAAGGCCCAGAAGTAATGAGTTTTCTTGAAAGTGGTAGCCGTATGGATTGCCCTGCTGGATGTCCTGAGACCATGTATGAACTGATGAAAGAATGCTGGACATACAAGTAAGTATAATCTAATGCCATCAAGTTTCTTACATTAGCTATGTTTCCATCCAAAGTTGTGACAAAACGTGTGCGCAATCGGGGGAAGCCACCGTGGCTCTGTTTTTCTACATCATTAGTGACTTGCGTCTCAGAGTGCGCAGATGAAACGCAATATACCCTTTTAATGTTATCCTGCGTTCGGATGCCTGGTGTTTGAGAACGCAATCATGTGAGACACTTCTGGCAGGTCATTATGCTAAATTATTCTGATGACAGACTTTGGCTCAGGCATTTCAGAATGATCAAACCAACATTTGAGATGCTGTGCAATGAAATTGATTCACTTGTTAGACTTGTTATCCAGTTACATCCACTGTTGAGGCAAAGTCACGTGTGATTTATTTATTATTTTTGCACATTGAGGGATTTATTTGGTAGTTCATGTGTAGTTTATGCATATGTATTATCTGTAACTTTTTTTATCTGTCTCAATTGAGTGCATACGTTTTTTATAAATATTTTTAGAATTTATGCACATCTTGGTATTTCCATACAGCGTTTTTTTTTATATGATATCCCAAAATGCACATAAAAATAGGTGGGTGGGAACATAGCTCTTGACATTATAAACTACTAGTCTTGCCTGTTTGCTTGTGTGTGGATGAGGGACTCAAGCAAATATGAATAACTTCTGAATGATATCTGACTCTTGTCTTCTGCAGGCATGAAGAACGGCCAGGCTTTGTCAAAGTGGAGGAGAAGATGAGAACTTTCTATTACTCCATTTGCAAAAAGATACCGGATTACATGAAAACAGAGAATGGAAAGCCTCCTAACTGATCAGAGGGGCAAATGGAAACATTTCAAGCCAGGACAGAATGAAAACATCAGAAAATCTGTTTTAAAATATATGTTACTGTAATATTATGTCTATCAAACTATCTGACTGAGCAATGCAAGTAATCTTTTTTTTAATTATTAGCTTGTCACTATCAGTGCTCATAATACTATTTTCAGCCAGTGCCTATTTACTATTTAAATATGTTATATAATAGTTGGTTATCAAAAGAAAATACTTTTTCCCTGCAAAAGTTTTTCAGTTAATGAAATCAGATGGATGTATTTTCTCCACCCATTAACACTTTCAAGATGAAAGTACATATTTACTCAAACCTTATGGTCTTGTTCTCTTTGTTAAATATTCTGTGATGGTATGTTTCCTGTTATTCTTTTTGTTTAACAACATATATATGTTCTCAAACTTTTGTATTTTAATTAATTTTGTATTGTAACAATTCTTGAGTTTTCAAACTTGCAATAAACTGCACATGCCTCATTACTTCTCCCTGACACCTTTGTTTACAAATAATTTACTTGGTAACACTTTATTTTAGTGTCCTTGTTACATATCTTACATGTACTTAACATAGTAATAACTTACATCCAACTAACTCTCAACCAAACACTAACCCTAATTAATATTACTCAGTACTTAAATATAATTACACTGTAACAATGACAGTGTTAAAATAAAGTGTAACCATTTCGTTTAAAGTGAATTTAAAAGGCTGCTTTTTAAATTTGAAGCTATAAATATCTCCAATGCATGAAATGTTTTGATGTTAGTGTGTAACCATAGTGTATCCAATACACTTCCTTCATGTTCAGTGGCAGACAGAAGAGGCTCTACTGATGTTTCAATAGAGGAAGTGTACTTTGCTCAGCAGGGAGGGGCTTGTGGCTTCCTTAGAAAGTGTGGACTTAATAATTGTTACAGTGCGAAGGCCACGTTCCTTTTAACTCTATAACAATTGCAAATACAATGTGATTACAATAACGAAGAACGTTCTTTAATAACGAACAAAATAGAGGGCGGTGAAAAAGGCGCTTCACATCAAAGCGGAACAAGAAAGGCGCTTGCTCGCGGTAAGTTTGCTTCAACTTCACTGTACTCTTCGAAAACATTCCCTTAACAAAATCGTTTTTTTAAAATACGTTTTGGTATTTAATTCGCTCTTTTTACAAAGGTTACTTTGTTATCGCATCCATGTGTTTCCATGAAAGTTAAATTCATATGATTATCAGTCCTGGTCACGCCATTAAAACCGACATCGTCACACGGAATTAGCGTGTAGACAGACGAGAGTCTCGCGCAACATGTTGTTTCGCTTTTGGTGTGTGTTACTGGTATCCATTCATTAAGAAACATGTACACATTCACATGTTATTAACAATATTTAAGTCGTGTGTGTGTGTGTGTGTGTGTGTGTGTGTGTATCATGTATGTATGTGTGGCATATATAGATATGTCATTAACATACTGTAGATATTAGCCTAGAAGATGCTGGAATCCCCCTGCCCTGCCCAATAAATGCCACCCATGGTGCCCTACAGGAAATTACTCAGAAATTCATAATATTCTAAATATAATGCCTCTGTGTACAACCTGTTCAGTGACCAACATTTTTTTAACATGCAGATATGTATTGTATTGTTTGTTCAGCATTAAACTGAGAAAATCTGTTTTCTTTTTCTTACTACATTTTACCACTTGATGTTGAAGGAAGCACAGCAAATTGGAATTAATCCTTGAGTTTGAGAAAAGAATCATGTAAGAAATGCGTGAAAGAATGCAAGTATAATTCCAAGACTGAAATTATTTCAGTGTCACGGCCGAAAGAAAATCGCAAGTAGGCCTACTCTTTTTATGTGTTTTGTTCACACCTGGAAATATTAGAGGAGGTCATGAAAATTAAGAAAATCCTCTTAAAATATATCTATATACTTATAATATTATACAATAAACATAAAATATTGACTAGAAACTGCTCTTTATGTGTGCAATGTAATGCAATGATGTTCTCATCATAAAATTAAATCATTATCCAAAGGGTCTGGGAACCCGGGAGCGGACAAAGTTTGACCTAGTTTTATTTTTTCTCCCTTTTTCGCATTCAGCATCCGTCCTCCCTCAGAGTACAATCGCTTATGATTACCGAGAAGCCTCCACACAATATTGTCATTGTTTATCCATCCTTTAATTTGTCATTTCAGGCACCCCTGCTATCAAAAGGCTCATTTTAAACGCATTACACAACAATCCTGTCCTCCGGCAACCATGTCCATGGCCCTAAAACAAGTCTTCAACAAGGACAGGACATTCCGGCCCAAGCGCAAGTTTGAGCCTGGAACGCAGCGATTTGAGTTGCACAAGAAAGCACAGGCGTCTCTAAATGCCGGTCTGGATCTGAAGCAAGCGGTGCAGCTGCCGCATGGCGAAGACCTCAACGATTGGGTGGCCGTTCACGTGGTAGACTTCTTTAACCGCATCAACCTCATCTACGGCACAATCAATGACTCCTGCACAGACCAGACCTGCCCCATTATGTCCGGCGGGCCAAAGTACGAGTACCGCTGGCAGGATGAACAGAAGTACAAGAAGCCCACCGCTCTCCCAGCACCCAAATACATGAGCCTGCTAATGGACTGGATTGAAGTCCAGATCAACAATGAACATATCTTCCCCACTAATGTTGGTAAGGACCACATGATCCAAAACACTTTGTTGTTGACCAACATTTGCATTTAGTTTTTAATCAAGTTAAAAGCCCAAAGTATAAAATGATGAATAATGATTCAAATTTCGTCACCAGAAACTTGTTTTTTGTAACCACACGTACAGACGCCCAGTTTTTGTAACTCATATTAGAATTGAATTGAAATACCGGAGACTGCAACAACAACAGACGCCCGCATTGACAAGCGTTTGTGTAAGGGGGTTAAGAGATAGTCGCAACTTTAGTTTCAAAGAATACAAAGACATTTTTATCTGTCATAACTTCTGGAGAAAAATAGCGCAGTCACTGGACAAAGATGAAACTTTCTAGAGCGCATGTGCCGACCGCCTGCATTCGCGCACACTATCAAATGGGGTATTCTTTGAAAGGCTACGTGTTCGACTGTACGCATACACGTAAAAAAACGGAAGTGTTCTTTGGGCTTTGTAAAAGTGTTACTAAACAGTCTATTAAATTAACAACATAACACTCAGGAGATCACAGGAGCTAAATGTTAACACAACCACATAACATAGACAATATCGGACACCGAACAGAAAGAACTCAAGGCTTAGGGGCTGTGTTTACATGACACCGTTTTCAACTAAAAACTGAAAACTTTTTATGCGTTTTGACCTTTCATTTCCACGACAATGGCTTTTTGTGGGCCTGAAAATGCAAACCTTTGAAAACAAGTTTCAAAGTGCAAGTTTTTGAAAAAGATACTGTTATCTTCTCCGTGTAAACTACAAAAACGAATTCGTGAAAATGGTGATGTCATGCGCATGCATATTACATGTTCAGTCTATAGGTGCGTAGAGTTTCTTTACAAAGTGACTGCCAACTACTGGCCTGGCATGAATAATACAGTATTTTCGTGGATCCGTGTGACCAGGGATCGTTTTGACAACATTGGTGTATGTATGCAAAAAAAACGTAAAGGAAAAACGTTTCTGTTTTTAGTACATCATTGTCGTGTAAACGTACCTTAAGATTACTGACAGTTTCCATTAAGTCTACTGGTAACTTACAGTTTTCTTCATTGTAGATTAAATAGCAATATTGCTAAATTACTAACATTAAGGTTTGGGGTTCAAGTTAGTTTGCTAAGGAGTGAATTAATTCATTATTAGTCCAAAATGTATTTTGACACCAAAGTCACACTTTAAAATGTATGAGATTGCTCAGATAGCAAAGTATGAAACAAAATGGTATCTGCAAACAAATTATCCAAGACATTTTCTTAGAACGTTTTGGAGTAATTTTGACACTTTTAGCCAACTGACATTTTTAGTAAATAGTATGAAATCAGTTCAGAAGTTTGACACCTAGAAAGTGTCTTTTGTTAGTATGTCAATTGTTTTATAATTTAAAACTTTATTTTGGAAAATATATTGCTTGAAACATTGGTCATTATTCTTTAAAATAAATGCCACTTGATTACGCATATTAACATTCAAAATTTGTAAAATGTAGCTTAAATGCCAAAAATACTGTACCTTTTGAGGTTTGTATATATATATATATTATTTACTTTTGTCAAACCTAAACCTTTGTAGGTCATCAGAATGAGCTGTGCAGAAGAAATTTGAAAATAATTCTAGTATGGCACGGATGACTCAAAATGGCCATCATATAGGTCATCATATACAGGTGAAACTTGAAACTCGAGTTCATTCATTTCAAATTCATTTATTTCAGTAATTCAGGTGAAACTAATATATTATATAGACTCATTACATGCAAAGTGAGATATTTCAAGCCTTTATTTGTTCATTTGATGATTATGGCTTACAGCTATGAAAATGTTTTCTCAATTTTCTAATTTTGAATTTGTGGTTTTCATAAGCTGTAAGCCATAATCATCAAAATTATAACAAATAAAGGCTTGAAATATTTCACTTTGCATGTAATGAGTCTATATAATATATTACTTTAAATCCTCGCTTGCCTGGCTTATGCTACTCTGAGCAATGTCGGAACTTTGTATTTTGAGCACTTCTTGCGTCCTTTTTGCCTCTTCACGATGACTCGCTTGGTTTAGTCCTCTGTTGTAAGTCGCTTTGGATAAAAGCGTCTGCTAAATGACTAAATGTAAATGTAGTTTCACCTTTTAAGTTGAATTACTGAAATAAATGATGCACAATATTCTAATTTTTCGAGTTTCACCTGTAAGCATAACATGTTGACCATTTGAAGCAGCATTTAAGACATGAATAAACTATGAATCAAGACGTAGTTTGTCAAACATGCGGAAACCTTTGGGATGGTCAAGTGCAGTGTTTGACCTCCCTGGCTTTGTCTCATTATCTCCAACCTGCCATCTGACATCTGTGGTGCCTTTCAAATTGGGTCATACAATTTACAGTGGGATATAAATAGACTAAGTCTGCATATAGAACAGATTCTTAGAATGCCATGAGACGGTTGCAAAATCTGCTATGTATAAGGACATGGTTGTCTGCATACAGCCCAGATCGCAGGACTCTATTAATAAATGGCGCTGTGGAAATATGATTCTGCAATTTATAATCCATCATATCACGTGCCCCAGATAAGAAACGTTTGATGTGAGGACAGATGCAGATGAGAAAATAAAGTTTTAAAGTGAAAATGAAAATGAGTTTTCTCTCATATCTGATGATATCAGCAGACTCGATGTCATCTCAGTTCTGTTTTAATCTACAAATAACTTGTCTGATGTTGTTTTAGAACCTGTTAAGGATGTGAAGTCACAATGAGAAATCAATAACCCTCATAATACTTGAATTTCAACCTA